CCAAGCTGGAGATACTTGGCGTCTCGTCAACGGCTGTGGATTGGTTCAGATCTTACTTGGTGAATCGCTATGTACGGGTTAAGATTGGCTCGTCGGAATCGGATGTTTTCTCAAACAACTCGGGAGTTCCGCAAGGCAGTATAACCATAGAGGTAACTCTAAGACCACTGGGTCCCGAAGAAAATCATTATTATTTTTGGCTCACTCAGTACCAGAACAACGGTCCCAAGCAGTCCCAAGCTATTTCACTCACCCCTGCATGTTCTGCATGAATCCACACACCCCTGATGTTATCTGTCAAACTTTCATAGCGAATCAAAACAAACATAGTGTAGTAATAGAATTTCAACTAGAATAGGGTACGTTAATCGTTTGCTTGGGACCAATAGGCTACTAAAGTGGTGAGCCAATTTAAAATCGTTAGTTTCGTATTGATTGTTGGTATAACCTAGGACCGCTACTGCTTTCTGATACCATCAGGATGCCGCGTTTTCTATGCAGACGATACGAAAATCTACAAAATTATTAAAAGTCTTTCGGACTCTTGGGATCTCCAGAATATGTTACGTATTTTTGCTGACTGATGCTCAAGAAATTTTATTAGTCTAAGCATCGAAAAATGTAACGTTATTTCCTATCACCGAAAAATCGAACCAATCATGCTTGACTATGTTCTCTACGGACGCTGTCTTGCTCGTGTAGAGCACATAAAGGATCTCGGCGTTACCTTGGACTGCAGACTCACTTTCAGAATCCACTACAATGACATCATCTCCAGAGCTAATCGACAATTGGGCTTTATTTTCAAAATTGCCGACGAGTGCCGTTCCCCGTTATGTCTCAAGCCGTGGGTGGCTCGTTGGATCAGATCAGTTGCTTTGACTTTGCACAGATCGGACCGGACAAGACCGTTGAACAGGGAGTTCTTGCCAACGTTGGTGCATCCGACCAGATAGATTTCACCACGTGTTCCCCAGAGTTGTGAATTTTAGTGATCAGCTGTTCTACTCCGTAACCGGTGGTGACCGAGATGAGCGACACGTGTTTGATGTTATTTCTGGTGAAGCCAACATCCAGGAAAGTTGTTCCGAGTGTTGTTCAGATAGCCTGGGCAGTTCCTTAGAAGAAGGTCGACTTTGTTCGCGACGAAGATTATCGATCGTTTGGGTCCAATAATTTCCGACAGACCCGGTCAGATGGAGCACGGGAGATCGAGGAGATCCACCTGAAAGGGATTACAAGAGGAATTAATAACATTTTTTTTATTAAACAGAAGTCTAGCAAAATGGTACCAACCAGCAACAGGACGAGTGACTTCATATCCTCGATGCAGGCATGGAAAATCATTTGCATTCATTTCGTGCATTCATTTACATTCATTTGCCTCTAACTTTTTTCATTAACAGCACTCCGCAAAATGATGTAAATAGTTTTTGTAGGTTTTGTTATTAGCTACAACTTTTGTTAACAAGTCAAATCCATATCTCTGATGTATGACGAACCATAGCGAACAGAAGGCACTACTGTTTTTCAGTGAATGTAATTTACATTCACTGAAAAACAGTAACAAGTTCTGCCAGCTCTAGTTCGTGATGCATAAGAGATACAGATTTGAGTTATGAGCAATTGTTGTAGCTAACAACAAAACCTACAAAAGCTCTACACATCATTTTGCGGAATGCTGTTGATGAAAAAAGTTAGAGGCAAATGAATGTAAATGATTGTATGAAATGAATGTAAATGATTTTCCATGCCTGCCTCGATGTAATCTGGCATCTCTGGCACCTCTCGCAGATTGTGGTCATTACTTGCTGCTTGGATTTATTCATAAACAACTACTGGGCAGGTACCCGGGAATGCACGGTTCGGCGAATTGCAGTAATGCACCACAGCCACTGCAAGGAATTTTTGAAACTGATTGCTTCGGATCTAGCGGTCCGTAGAAGGTCGTTCGATCATCTTCTACATCCTTTTTGTAGTACTCGTAATCGGACATCTGATCTCCGATTGTCGGTGCTGCTTCTTCCGTCGAGGAAGATTGATCCCGGAGAACTTCGAGATTAGGGCGTAATTGCTTTTGTAAAAAAAACACTTCATTTGACGATTTCTCGCGAATTAAAGCTCAATCTCAAAAACTAACAACACAAACAGGTAGATGAATGGTTCCTCTACCTTTTGATGTAGTATGTTCACGATATTGTTCTTTTATTCGCGAGAAATCAGCGATTGACATGTTACAAAAACAGCTACGCCCAAATCTCAAAGTTCTCCGGATTCATCCTCACTGATTTTTCTAAACTACGACGCTACTACTTTTAAATTTTCATGCGCACCTAACCTAATTTTATCCTGGCAGTTATTTATGTGTCAGTCTTCGTTGACAGGTATTTCAAGTATTTTTGGCTAAGCAAAATGTGAATGCCGTATAGTTCGTTATATTATTTTGCTGATTTCGGCAGTTTGAAATTTTTCCGGTTATATCAGTGATTACAATTGACGAAGCTTGGTAAATGATTGTTTTTACCGAAATTTGATGTGAACTATTATATCACAGACAAACAGACATAACACATATAATATTTATCATTGTAAAACATCGTCGCTAAAACATTACCGCCATCTGTTGAGTACACTTTGGTGGGTAGTACGCTGAACAGATGGCGGTAGTGTGTAAACGTCAAACTCAAGGGAAATGACTATGCGCGCCACAGGTGGCGGTACTACCAACTACGATACTTTTAAATTGACAGTTAAATGCTTGTTCGATGAACAACTTGCGAGTGTTATGTCTGTTTGTCTGTGATTATATGTTTAGCAAAACTTCGGCAAATTTTCAGTTTACTGAACTGTTACGGCAATATATTTCACCGAGGACAGATTTTGATTTTAAGTGTGTACAAAATTCCCGATTTTGTCAACATTCCTGTTTTGGCAACATAATATTGATATAAAAAACGGAAAGGCACGTCAAAATATTTTGTGAAATCCAATTGTAGCAACATGTAGAAGCAAGGGCAGCTCTGGTAAATTTTCCCTACCAATTGCATGTCATCAATATTGGATTTTGTGACATTTGTCGTTTTGGTGAATACCTTGATCCACAATAGTAGAATTCTTGCATTTTCTTAAAAGCCGTCATATATTAAGCTAACAAGCTGACATTAATATTTCTGTGTCTCTTTTTTGAAGATGTTATTCACAATTTTATTTAAAAAAGGAGTTGATCAAAAATCATACCTCTTTCTTTTCTTTTATGATAAAAGATAGGAACAAAGTTCTCAGCAATTAAAGCAACTCTTCATAATTGTGGATTTTCAGAACCACGATTACCCAAAAATATACCAACGAAATCCAGCTGACCTTAACAGATTGGAAAATTCTACAGACTCATTGTTCGTGCTGTCTGATTGTTGACTAGCCTCCCATAAGCATGTTGCATAGCATCCTGCAATCTGAATAATAAAAAAAAGAACCTCAAACTACTTTGCTAAGAATTCAAAGATACACAGCTGCTGCAATCAAGCTGATCAAACACTCAGATCAAATGCACATCAGGAGAATCATCAATCAGGTTTCAGTAATTGAATGTAGTTTGAATGCAAATTACAAGCTGTTTCTTTCGTTTCCCGCCACCTCATTCTGTCTGGAATCGTTACCGTCGGTGCAATCAACGTAATTCGTTCTGTGTTTTACAATGTAAAGCTGTTAAATTCAATCCAAGCTCAGCGTAAATCCACTTCAAACAATGCATTCCAATTTCATCTTCCTCTCATCTATCCATTTTACGCTTTCGGATGGATGGGAAAGAATAGAAAGAACCACTCACTGGCTACAGCTGTCAGTGCAACGGCCAGCATCCGCAGCAGGACCTGTGAGACGGTTTTGCTGTTGGTGGGAAAGTGTGTCAAAATCACCGGTGCATCATCTCACCGGATGCACAGCGACAGCCGAGCATGAGGTCACTTCAAAAGTGGCCAAATGGTTCAGCGAGAGGTTGAATTCTAATTAAAAGCCAAACCGTCCGGTCGTGCTCCGTTTACCAGAGTCGCTTCCAATTCCACCTTGGCTTTTGGGGGTTTCGTGTCGAGATTTGCTGTTTGTTCTCTTCCGGGTGTTCTGTGTACGATGCCAAATGCTTTCGCTGCAAAAGGAAAGACGTCAGCTAGAAGGGTGGCGGCTTCTCCCTATCAACGAGTTGATTTGTAGCTCTAATAGGCCTCTACCTGCAGCGAGCGCACAAATTCGAAAACCGAGGATTTGTGCTTCTTCATCGCCCGGATTGGGATTTACCTTTGCGTGGTCGGTCGGCTTGGCACTTCATAAATATAATTAAATTCTTGCACTCGAAAGTCCGGCCGGTACCATAGCTGTGGTCAATGCGAGAGCACACTATACATATTCCTCCATTTTTCGTCTTTGGGAGCTAGGTTTTTGCTGCAGCATAGCCAATGGCTGCAGAAGCCAGCGTTGTCACTAAGAAGAATAAATCAGCGTGTCTTAATTGAGATTTTCCTCGTAATTATGGTTTTTTGTTATGGAGGTAGATTGTGGTGAGTTAAGCGGCTCAAAACATTTATCTAGGCATACATAATTTTCTTTTTCATCACAGTTGTCCAAGCGTCCAAAGTCCGTCACTTCGATCCGATTATGAAGATAAACACATCCACATCCAGAATTTTCGAACAGTATATTCAACGTTTAGCTTTAAGTCTGCTCGTAGAATAATGCACACTCGTCATAGTGTATAATCACTCAGCGGTTCACCATTTATTGCCTTCCTCACTGCAGTACAATAACACACATATAGACTATATGATATAGTCTAGTATGCTGCCGCATCACAGAAACCAACAAGTGTTAATTTGGCTCTCCTAACTTCCCATACCGGACACGGACACGGTACCGGGCTTTCCTTCTTGATTAATGTCTGCCAAACACTACACAGCATAATAAATCTCACTCTTGTGTGACCTCATTTCTGCTTCTCCATCTATCTACAGGCTACCCGATGAAATCCATCGAGTGCAAACCGCAACAGCTGACCGCCATCGGTAACCGGCTGCTGGATTGGTTCTCGGTCATCATGGCCGACAGCAAGAAGCGCCGCCAGCATCAGCAGCAGAAGAACAAGGTTCACTTCCCGGCCGCATGCAAACTGGAAGCCCGCTGGATGTTCGGCCACCTGGATCTAAACAACGACGGTGAACTGTCGTCGCAGGAGTTGTACGATTTGGAACACGATCAGAACGAACGCTGCATCAAACCGTTCATCGACACGTGCGATCTGGATCAGGACAATACGATCGATCCGCGCGAGTGGTGCCGTTGCTTCGAGAAGACCGACCGGCCGTGCGCTGCCGTCCGAAGGCGCTTGGGTAATGATTTGAATGGTAGGTTCGATCGGATCCTGGAAGGAAGGCATTGTGATATTTTTTTTTAATGGCGTTCCAGGTTCAGGATATGCACCGGACTGCGACAGTCAAGGATTCTACAAACCTACGCAGTGTCACCAGGCCGTAGGAGTGTGCTGGTGTGTGGATGAACACGGCGTTGAGTTCGCCAATACGCGCACCCGTGGAAAACCCAACTGCGGTGAGTAGTTTTATATTTACTAAAATTAGTATAGGTACCATCCGGGCAGTTAGAATCAGCACGTAAGAGAGAAGCTCTATCTCGCGATTGATTGCACGTAGTAAAAACGACTCTGCTTGAGCAAGTTTGAAGAAATTATGCAGAGGAGCAGGTAGAAACTATTGGAGTATGCTGGAAGAAACTTACGAGAAAAGTCGAAAGCAATTTTCAGGGGAACTTTGAAAGAACTTCCCTTGGAATTTGGTACAAGAAGCCAAAAGAAACTTGGAGAACTTCAAAGAGTCTTTTGGGGGGTCGTCCTACTTCTCTTGAAAGTTTCTGTGTAAGTAATCTTCCGCTCATCGCAAGTCGGTCCCATTTACGTTTTTGTTGAAACTGAGTTTGTTAGTGGAAATAATAACTAATGATCTTCTATCTTTTCATAATACTGGATGAACACAGAAACTTTGTTCTAAGAAAGTCTGGAAAACATCCAAACTAGTTGTCTCATCACATAAGAAGCAATGGTGCAAAGCAAACCTAAAACGCGTTTTTCTCGGCTTGCTGATTTGTGCTATGAAACAAACATGATGCGTGCTGTCAACAATGTCAATTGACATTAGATATTGCTGCAGCACTGAATGTCACTTCTGAAACTGATATTCGTAGCAAGCATGATATCGGATGGTACGGATTTGACTAAGGAACCCAAATATTAATATCACTAATGGGACAATTTAAAATCTTACCTTCTAAAAATCAGTACTCGATTAGCTGGCGTAAATCAGAAATATTTGCTTAAGAACATTGAATATCAGTATCAGTAGGTCCCATCACGATGTCAATGTCATTAGCGCACTGACATTGAGTTGTATGACATTGATATTGGAACTATGTGAGCTGATCAGGTGGCTAGTGAAAATCAGCATTTTGTAGGTATTGATATTGATTTTTAGCAGCATGATGCCCATTGGCGTAGCATATAATCTACTTGTTTACTCGATAGCTGTCTTTTACAAGCAATATGTTGATGATTGTTTACGTTTTGAGAGTTAGTGTACATGTAGGTTATGGTTAAGGTGACGCCACTGGATAAAATCAAACTAACGTACGATACGGAAACAGAACTAATTAGGTTATTCAATTTTGAAAAAAATATCGGTTTGCATACATCATCTGAAAGCAAGGGGTGAGACAGGTTTACTCTGAGTTCCTTTTTTGCAGCGAGTAACTCGCGAGTAACTCAAAGGATCTCAATATTTTCTCTGCCTACTTCGTTTACTCTTTTTAAGCATATACGTCTCATATTAGACGTCAGTTTTGTTAGTAAATAAACATAAAGTAATCCCAAGTGTATTCTGATCCTTTCAAATAACTGGAATATTATGGAAGAACCTGTGTCGGTGCCTGCTTGCTACCAATAACAACCCACACTTCCAACCAGCTTTAAGGGTTGTTCTTCCTCCTCAGCAACCAGTCTCAGTCGTCACTCCGAAAGGATCATCTCTGATCAATAAAGTACTTCAATATTCTTCTAAACATCTGAAATTCCACCTATAATGCAGCGAATCCATCATCTTAGATTTCTCCAGGCGTAACAGCAGTCCTATTGGAAAAGGCATCACCAGTCAATGTGGTAATAACTAGCTCCGATCCCCTTTCGAATAACATTCCCGTTGGCACCATGGCAAACATAGAGTATAGTGAGTAATATTTCAACTATGGCCCCTCCAACGGCACCCGCCGCTACAGTTTCCGGTATAGAAAATATCTCCCGGTGGGGCAACAACCGATTAACACCCAAATCCAGCTCCGAAGGCAACGCTACAAACCATTACCCAATGGAATGTTCAGTCAAAGCATCAGTGCAGCCGCTGCCACTGCCTAAGCTGAAGAGGAGGATGACGATGATGTAGCTGTTGTTTCCAGTGAGTGCGATCCTCGTTTGAATTTCAAACCCATTAACGATCTACTGGACGAAACCAAAGTGAAAACCCGTCAGGAAGACGAAGCACAAATCCTCTTTGTCGACTTGCTCCGGAAGATTTCGGTCGACGGCCGCAGCAATATCTCGGTGGTGTATAGCAAAAACGGGACCGGATCACGTCCCCCGCCGTTGTAATTCAGAGCTCGATTCACAGTTCCATCCAACGGCAGTTTGTCAAGCGATGGGAGGAGATTGCTTCGACGAGTATCGATTTTAAGTATTTGGTCAGGCAGATCGGGTTTTTCTACCACATCAACCACACACTTAGAAATACCTAATTTTACACGTGACGGAATCCATCTTTGACATAAAGGAGAGACGTAAACAAACATGTCATGTAAAATTAAATGCTCCGAAACTGAAAAGTTCGGTACTCGACGAAAAGTATGTTTGCTTGAGCTGAATTTCGTGTCTATTATTACTCAATTTTATGTCAAAATTGACGCTCGCATATGTCAGTCTCAGAGCACCTAATTTTACATAATTTTTTCTAAGTGTGCAGATAAGCATTCGACCGTCGTAAGTGTATGGTTGCAACAGGTTCCTTTCACGTTCACGGTTGGTAAGGGTCGAACGAAGGTTTTTAAACTTAGATGATTTAAGCACAAACGAAGTGACAGACGGAGCGGCTCGAAAACTTTGGTGACTAAACTGCTATTGCAATTTTTCAGTGTACCACATGGCAACACCACTACTACTGGATTGTACCACATGGCAACACTACTACTGGATTGAACTAGCATTTTCACCAAATGTACTAGAATGTTTTGGTTCTATCTCTTTCACTCTACTCAAAACTGAAATGCATAAAAAAAATGACAAAATGATACGCACTCTTTGCACACTGTCAAAGAATCATTGTACACAAAATCTACTTTGTTCAAAACCAAAACAAAAATAGTATCCCATCTGGTGGATGATGGCACAAGCTTCTAAGAAAATTCTATTACAGTGAACCACATTACTTTAATTGACTTCTTCGCCAGTTAGTCGTCTGTCACTTCGTTTGTGATTTAAGTGTCCCGAGTTCCGCTTTAATTGTTGTTTTATGTGACAGCAGCTTTTCGGCTTCGCATTAAGGTGCACCTTCAAATGTTGCTGTGATGTGAAAAGTGAGAAAGCAAATGACAGCGATCTTGCTCACAGAGCAATGTGAGTTACTCGAGGTGCCTCAAAACCAACTCTGAAATTGCTCATGATTAGGAGCTGTCTTGCCCCTTGTCTGAAAGAGCTTCGTTTTCTGAGTGCAACGATACTTTTTTTTCGAACCCATAGACTTTCATCTCGATTTTAAATGAAGATTTAGAGCATAGTAATAACTTCACTGTTTGACATTAAACTAAAAATTGACAGCTCACTCCCATACAAAGTCCCATCGAGGGGCGCTAAGATGGTGATCATTGCTTGTTTTAATGCATATTACAAATGCAGCCCTACCCAAACGATGATATGCAGGAAAAACTCGATCCATGGCCACACTTCGCCAGCCTCGTAGTTTGCGAAGGGTCCGCAGGTCGCCTTCCACTTGGTCGATCCACCTTGCTCGCTGCGTGCATATTCTTGTTCCTGTTGGGTCGCTTTTGAGAACCATTTTCACTGGCTCATCGCCCGGAATTCTAACGACATGCCCAGCCCACCGTAGTCGTCCAATTTTTGCAATGTAGACGATGGATGGCTCTCCCGGCAGCTGGAACAATTCGTTCATTCGCCTCCTCCACGTTCCGTCATCCATCTGCACTCCACCTCACACCTCGATTTCGCCACCGTCCTTCTGAACTAGGAGGCTAGCATTGTCTTCCCTATGACCTCTTCCTCTCATGTATTTCGTCTTCGATGCGTTGATGGCAAGTCCAATCCGCCTAGCTTCAGCCTTCAGTCTGATGTACGTTTCCGCCATCGTCTCAAAATTCCGTGCCATGATGTCAATGTCATCGGCGAAGCCAAGAAGCTGGATGGACTTCCTGAAGATCGTACCAATTGTGTCTATCCCAACTCTAACGCGATGTTGAATAGCAGGCACGAAAGTCCATCTCCATGCCGTAGCCCCCTTCGAGATTCAAAGGGACTCGAGAGTGTCCCCGATACTCGAACTCGATGTTGGATAGCAGGCACGAAAGTCCATCTCCTTGCCGTAGCCCCCTTCGAGATTCAAAGGGACTCGAGAGTGTCCCCGATACTCGAACAACGCACATCACTCGATCCATCGTCACCTTAACCAATCTTCCATAGCTGATCTCGATCGACTGTGTCGTATGCGGATTTGAAATCGATGAACAAATAATGTGCGGTCACGTTATATTCGCGGCATTTCCGCATAACCTCCTGAATCGCGAAAATTCGGTCCGGTGTAGCGCGGGCACCCATCAATCTCGCGTGGTATTGCAGGTGGCGGCATATAATTTGGGAGAGTATCTTGTAAGCAGCACTCAGCAGTGTGATCGCGCGGTAGTTGCAGCAATCGCATTAAGGTGCACCTTCAAATGTTACTGTGATGTGAAAAGTGAGAAAGCAAATGACAGCGATCTTGCTCACAGAGCAATGTGAGTTACTCGAGGTGCCTCAAAACCAACTCTGAAATTGCTCATGATTAGGAGCTGTCTTGCCCCTTGTCTGAAAGAGCTTCGTTTTCTGAGTGCAACGATACTTTTTTTTCGAACCCATAGACTTTCATCTCGATTTTAAATCAAGATTTAGAGCATAGTAATAACTTCACTGTTTGACACTAAACTAAAAATTGACAGCTCGCTTCCATACAAAATCCCATCGAGGGGTGCTAAGATGGTGATCATTGCTTGTTTTAATGCATATTACAAATGCAGCCCTACGCAAACGATGATGTGCAAGAAAAACTCGATCCGCCAGCCTCGTAGTTTGCGAAGGGTCCGCAGGACGCCTTCCACTTAGTCGATCCACGTTGCTCGCTGCGTGCCTCTTCTTGTTCCTGTTGGGTCACCTTTGAGAACCATTTTCACTGGCTCATCGCCCGGAATTCTAACGACATGCCCAGCCCACCGTAGTCATCCAATTTTTGCAA